ACAAGAACAGCAAAAAAATCATATTTGAGATTTTTACGCCTTTAGAACTGAAAACCAATAAAATTGAGAAAATCAATCAACGTTCGTTTGCCGTGATATCTCTTTCCTACCACATTCAAAGGCTTGTTGAAGTTTTGAATCGGAGGCTGTTTGCTTATTTGGGAAATAAAATTCTTGATGACGAATTTTCTTGAGACCGAAGAGCTATGCTCTGATGCGTATTTTTGTGCTGTTCTTGTTCTCAGATACTGACTGGAACCAAATACGTTTACTGCGAAATCGCGCGGCAACTGTTATATTTTCGTTTTCGTTGACTTCTCAACTCCTTTGAGAACCAGAGTCAGCTGCGAAGTAGAGAATATCTCCTATTCACAATATAGCGTAATGTCCTTCTTAGCTCACAAACGAGTTGAAGGCAAAAGTTCAGTTGTTCAGACGATCTAAGTTGTTCAGTTGTTCAGACGATCCAAGGCTTTGCTTGACCTTGATTTCGACTGTATCTCCGCTCAAACATTAACCAGAAGGGAGGAAGATTTTAAGTTTAATTAGTGTTAATAATTAGACGATATTAGACTACCACCTTGTTTTTTAGAATTTTAAGCTTTTATCGTTTTAGACTTGTAAGTAGTAAGTAGCGATATGATTTTAGCTGGGTATATCCTATTTATTCTCTAATTCACTAGTTATCTTACTTAATTATTTAGACACGACCCCACTAGCGAAGTGTCGCTTTAAATACTTATCGTGTATAAATAAAGATTATTGATTGATTGATTGTTAATGCGTTAATCCCTGTTGTTATGGTGATAGTGACGTAAGCGGAATTTGTCTGTCGAGTTTGCGACAACTGATTAAGAGGTCTGAGCGCGATTTGTTACACTCATGTGGATGGAAGCCCAAGTAACCAACATCAATTGTTTTAGCTGAGCAAATCAAATACAAGGCACTGTTCTTTTAGCGAGTAAAAGGTCAGTCAGGATAACGAAACGGTTCTTTTTAAAACAAACGCGCTTTCGACTTCCAGAGGTGTGAATAAAATGAGAAAAGTAGATATGTTTCGGAGAAACTTTTTGGAGGAATCCTTTCGCTTAAGAATATGATGTGGTGATGGGCCATCGAAGTAAAAGAGACAGGGGTGGATACAGGTTTTGAAGCGAGTAGTTTCCACTCGAGGAGACACTCACACTAGGGGGGTTCGGGGGCATGGCCCCCCCCCCAGGAAAATTTGAAATTTCGAGCTCTCTAAATGCCATTTCCGAAGTGAGATCAGACTTTAAATCCTCAGAGCGTAATCGGGGACGCCGCCTGACCGCACAAATAACGAGATTAGGCATTTCAAACATATTTTATTTAATAAATAACTGAAATACAGGAAGTTGGCTTATTTCTAGAAGGAAATGAGTAATTTCCAGAAACGGATCAGCAGTTTCTAAATGGAGATCAGAGTGTTTTGGAAAAATTTGAGTGAGTTCCGGAACTCACATAAACTACCCTGGATCCAACCGTGAGAGAATTCCTTATCCCTCCGCGGTCGTTATAGCCACACAAGTTGGCTAGCGCCGGATTTGCGGATACTTCATCCGAATGATTCATGATTGCAATATGATATCGATCGCACGACAATGGATCATGAAAGTGATAGCTTATGATAATCGCAACTGGCCACAACTTCCTGCAATATTGACCATGTGCATCGAACTGGCGTGATGGAATATTGTGCGAACCGTTGTTTTGAAGATTAAGAGTGAGACATTGCACTTAAATCGAGTGCATATTGTCATGCGTATATGAAAATGTAACCGTGACCCTTATTTGCTGCATTGATTTATTGTTGCACAACAGCGTCCTTTGTTTATTTTCAGCTTTTCCCGGAAGTGAGATCGGCTGAAAGGCTGCTGAAAGGCGCCTTGAACAGTCATAACTGCTAGAGGATTGTGGGATTCTCACGCGGAAACATGGCGTCTAGAGTGGGAGTTGTTAGCGATGGATTAGCTTTGTGAGCAGTATTCTTCGAAAAGATCTCCGCAAAAATAACTTTTTTAAACATTAAGAATGCCTCCAGGATTACGGCGCAATTTCTGGGACGATTACGAGCCTGCTTCAGTGGTAAATGTTGACTGTTTCTTACCAACGGGAGTCGTGATTCAGTTACAAGTTCGTATCGAAGCTCCATTGTCGGAGATCAAAAGTCGACTATGGAGAGAAGCCAGCAACTATCCGTTGTTTAATTTCCTTAAAGATGGTACAAATTATATATTTGTGTGTGTGAATCAGAGAGGAAAGCAAGAGGAACTACTGGATGAAACGCGCCAGCTAATCGATGTGCGTCCTTTCAGACCCTTGCTAAAGCTCATACAAAAACAAGGTGACAACGAGGAAAAACTCTTCAATTCCCACATTGGTAACCTCATCGGAAAGAGCTTGCACGAGTTCGATCAAATGCAGAACACAGAAGTTGACGATTTCCGTCGAAAGTATAGGCAGTTTGCCGAGAGAATAGCCTGTGAAAGGCGTCAACTTGACTGGATTGGACGAGCTATGTATGCATACCCTCCCGAAGTTGAAAGCACTGATCCCCCAGAATGTATCGAGAAGAATTTAATGGAGAACAGGCGTTTCTTGGTCAATGTGGCCATCAAGAACAATAGGGCCTCAATAAAAGACATGCATGCATTTAATGTCCCAGCTGATGCTTACCCAGATGAGCTTCTGGTATTGGTTTTGAGGAAAAGAGGTGCAATCATGGGGGTCTTAGATCTTGACAAACCGTGTGATTACGTACTGAAGATTGTTGGACAAGAAAGCTACCTGCTGGGAAATTATCCATTATTACAGTACACGGTATGTTGAGGGCCAGTTTGCAGAGTATGGCACTGAACTCGATGAGATCTCGCGCGTGCAGAGCCATTTTTTGCTGGTTGCACCGTGTGCAATGTGACCAAAAACTTGCGCGTGCAACCCAGCGTACATGGTGATCATTGAGTAATAGTGTAAGTAAATAACACAAAGGCTGAGACTGATTGCCTTTTGTAGCAGTTTTTCTCCAAAAATGGGAAAAACAAGTACTCTTCAAATGTTTCGCATATTTTAGTTTTACAGCTACCACAGGAAATGCAGCAATTCTTGCGTGCAAAATGGACGTTTACAAAACGAACTCGTGCGTGCACTTGCCATACTCTGAAAACTGGGTTGAGGGTACACTGCTACTTTTATGTCACATACCAAGTGTTTGTATGTATTAGACAATCCAGCTTTTTTAACCCTTTACTCCCTAAACATCAGTAAGTCTATTCTCTATACTGGTCTCCAAGCATTTTTTAAGGCGCTGATAGGAAGAATTTTTGGAACAAGCAAGATCTTCTTTAGATGGCGATCATTTCTTTTATTCTCTTAATTTTAATCTTCAATCAGGGGTGATATTGTGAGGGGAAATTAGATGCTACATGTAGTCACTTTTGGTGGTCAGAGGGTTAAACTGCACTTTACCTTTACCCCNTAGAAGTTCATTGGCTGATTGTGTAAAATTTGATTAATTAATGCAATTATCTGATATAAACATTGGCGATTGGACCATTAATAGATTACCATTGTGGACAAAACACCTACACTTTTCTAACAACAAAAAATATAACTTGTGGAAATCACTGCCATGTACATTTAACTTCAATCAGTCAAAATACTTACGGTCCATGAAATGCCTTCTGTGATATATCGCTCTGTGGCAAAAAACTTCAGAGGTTTGTTATCAGATGGAAGTGGAACAAATTGCACTGATCAGATTACACTAAACCAAAACACACCACTCTATATGCTAACATATAGTTTTTTTTTTTTAAAAGATAAGTTAAAAAATTAAAGAAAGTGATGCTTGTCCCAAGGGGGTATATCCAGTCAGGTGACCATTGCTTTTCTTTTGTAGAGAAATGTTTTTGCAAGAATGGAAGTGGAATATTTTGCTAGAGATATTCCATAAATCAGTCATCAGTAATAACTCTCCGCTGGTTGTCTGCCATTTCTATTCAGGTTGGTGTCCGAGCAGGTATCTACCACGGGGGGGAGGCACTGTGCGACATCAAATCCACAAGGCCAGAGAATGGAGCAAATGCAACATGGAATGAGTTCTTGGACTTTGATTTAAGAGTAGCCGATATTCCTCGGATGGCTCGCCTGTGCCTTGTGATTTATGGCGTAACCAGCAGTCCCCAAAAGAAGTCAAAAAAGAAGAAGGAGGTTCAGTATTACTCTATGATATTAACTTTAAGAGTAATTTTCAACTGTCAAAAGAAATCTCCAGTATTTCTTCAGCTTTGCCCAACTTTGTTTTGTGATTGATCCAGAAAACTAGCTTGACTTTCTCAACCAATCACATTCAAAACTGAAACCAATTACAATTTGGTCACTTTCCATGCTTCAAAAAGTTTGCTTGTTTTTAGTTTGAGTTGATAGATCCTCATGATACCCCCCAGTACCTACAGAAGGCGAGGTTTGGAAAGGCGACTCTCTTTGAGATATTAGTTCCAACAATCCTTATACATCTGAAATAAAAATTCAGATAGGCTCTTTGAGATTGAAAACAATTGTTTGATCTATTAAATATTATGATTATATTATTTTGTTTGTTTTCAGTATATTCGCACCTGTGTGTCAAAAGGAATCAGGCCAATGCTTTCACTTGTGCTTCGTTCATCACTTCAAGTAGAGGTGCTTGATGTGAGTGATTTATGTCGCAGAGTTCAAGGAACCAGGGCACCACGTCTACCTGATAAGCCACAGTCAGCAAGCTTGTCATTGTGGAGTATTGAACAGCAAGTTCGTATCAAGATTACTTCAGCCAAAAATGTCAATGCAGGAGACCTAATGAGGGTAAGTGAATTATTTTATAAGCTTTTTTATGAGCTTTTTAAACCCTGCCCAAAAAGTAATTCTCATAACTGCCTGCTATGCAAGTCTTAAGATGTTGGCGTGGAGAATTTGGTATTGGATCAACTACTGGTGACAATCCCCAAAATGATATTATTCTTTATTTTCATCATTTGCTTGATTTTGTTTTAATGTTGTAACAAGAAATTCTGTCTTGGTCACATATGTGAGTGAAAAGGTTATTTAGTAAATAAACCCCATTGGGAGGCTAGTATGTCGGCTGATAATGTCCACGGATGAGAGATTGTCCAAAAAATGATTTGGCCAAGAAGCGAAGCTTTGAGGGCAAATATGAAATTTTGAGGACAGTCTCTCAGCCAAGGACAATATCAGCCGACGGCCATAATCAGCAAGCCAGAATGGGGTTTATTTATTTTATAACCCTTCCATTATTATTCACATTGCAATTAAACTGTGCGTAAACACAGTAAAAAAGCCAGTGGTGATCTGATGATGAATGTGTGCGATTGACGCAAGCAAGCAAAAAAAAGAATGAGTTTGGTTTCCTTTCATGTAAATAGGAGAACGGAAAAGTTGAAACTCTTGTGTTGACTATGTTTCTTTTTCATGGAAAAAATCGGAGGACAAATGTCAATTCGGACGGGGGTTATTGCGTGATAACTGTCTTGTGATTTTGCACCATGTGATGCAAAGTAACCAATAAAATCATGCCAAAATTAATGGGTGGGTTATAATAATAAATAGGATGTACTTCCAGTGTGGCCTGCAAGACAGGTATCCTTCTTTTGCATTTTTCTGGCCATCAAAGGCTAGGAAAGCTCAAGGAGAACACAAAGAGCAAGACAAATGCAAGGAGAGAACAGCTCTTTTTTAACTCATCTTAAACATAGTTAATTTTTTGGATATATGGGTTGAAATGGGACACTAAGTAACTGATGCCGGTGTCTGAATAATTGTTAGCAAAAATAAACTGTATTGGTACCACCCTTCCTGCAGTCCCCTCCACAGCCCTAAATATTAATTGAACTCGTCACGCAATGCTCTCTCTCCAACGTTGCACGATGTGACCAAACAACTACCTGCTCATGGGTTATAATTGTGCTTACTGTCAGAGACAAAGTTGTAACTATTACTCTGACCATAAAGGGTCAGAATCAGAAATTCTGTTTGGATAATCTTGTGTAGGAAAGTGGACAATAGGCATTATAACATAACCAAAGTAAAGCGCGCGCTCTGATTGGTCAATTTAGCATCCCTCATTTGCCCATGGGTGTACTCTGCTGACGTGAGCAAATGCAAAGACTATTTTTTTGCGCGCGCTTGTTTTTTCTGGTCGCGTAAGATTTGTTAAATAAGAGGGAACTCTTTAGCTACAATGTACCAATGTTATGTTATAAAACAAATGGTAAACACCACAGCATACACTATTGAGTTATGGATGCACGCGGGAGGTTTGCTAAGCACTCAAGAAGCTAGAGTCACTCTCGGCTATCGCCTCGAGCAACTCTTATACTTCTTTCGTACTTAGCAACCTCCCACGTGCATCCATAACTCAATAGTGTACGCTGTGGTGTTTACCATTTGTTAATTACGTATAAGTTTTTAATTGGTGTAAAGCAATGTGGTGGACATAGCCTGGGATGGAGGCTGAGTTTTGGCTGAGTTTTGGCATCGAGTGTCAGGCTTGAAGTGCTGGGTCTCACATACTCATCTTTCAAGTGAACTTAAAAATATTTATTTGAATAATGTGAATTCCTTCTATTGTTAATTAATGTACTGATGAATCAAAACCGTGGGAACAGTAGAAGTTCATTGGCTGATTGTGTAAAATTTGATTAATTAATGCAATTATCTGATATAAACATTGGCGATTGGACCATTAATAGATTACCATTGTGGACAAAACACCTACACTTTTCTAACAACAAAAAATATAACTTGTGGAAATCACTGCCATGTACATTTAACTTCAATCAGTCAAAATACTTACGGTCCATGAAATGCCTTCTGTGATATATCGCTCTGTGGCAAAAAACTTCAGAGGTTTGTTATCAGATGGAAGTGGAACAAATTGCACTGATCAGATTACACTAAACCAAAACACACCACTCTATATGCTAACATATAGTTTTTTTTTTTTAAAAGATAAGTTAAAAAATTAAAGAAAGTGATGCTTGTCCCAAGGGGGTATATCCAGTCAGGTGACCATTGCTTTTCTTTTGTAGAGAAATGTTTTTGCAAGAATGGAAGTGGAATATTTTGCTAGAGATATTCCATAAATCAGTCATCAGTAATAACTCTCCGCTGGTTGTCTGCCATTTCTATTCAGGTTGGTGTCCGAGCAGGTATCTACCACGGGGGGGAGGCACTGTGCGACATCAAATCCACAAGGCCAGAGAATGGAGCAAATGCAACATGGAATGAGTTCTTGGACTTTGATTTAAGAGTAGCCGATATTCCTCGGATGGCTCGCCTGTGCCTTGTGATTTATGGCGTAACCAGCAGTCCCCAAAAGAAGTCAAAAAAGAAGAAGGAGGTTCAGTATTACTCTATGATATTAACTTTAAGAGTAATTTTCAACTGTCAAAAGAAATCTCCAGTATTTCTTCAGCTTTGCCCAACTTTGTTTTGTGATTGATCCAGAAAACTAGCTTGACTTTCACAACCAATCACATTCAAAACTGAAACCAATTACAATTTGGTCACTTTCCATGCTTCAAAAAGTTTGCTTGTTTTTAGTTTGAGTTGATAGATCCTCATGATATTTTCTTGTGTTCTCATTGGTTCTTTGGTTTTGGTTTGAGAACACTTAATTGAAGATTGCTCTAAAAGTAGCTTTGGACAAAAAGACTAATGAACAGATGTCTCTTTAAACTAGTCAGGGCTTGAAATTGTGCCTGTATTGGGTGCATTTGCAGATAAAGATTTTGCTTTTGTGACTAAAATTTCTCCATTCGTAGTGATTTTGTGACTGTTTTATAGCCCAGCCTATTATTAAATTATGTTTAACAGCCTTGTGGCTTACTTGTTACTGGTTGCTGTTTTATCTGAAAAATGCTACGAAATGCAAGTTAAATGTTGCATGACTTTTACTATTGATTTCTTGTTGAGAAACATATGGCGGGCACACTTTTTCAGAAACTGTGTTGTGCAATGCTGTTGAAATTACTAGGAAATCTAAGTTTCTAATTTCCAATATTTTGTTTGGGTTGGTTACTTTTGTGACTAAAATTTTCAAACTTGAGACTAAATTTTAGGAATTACTCACAAATTGCGATTGAGATTTTTTTTAATTTCAAGCCCTGCCAGTGAGAATATTTTTAGCACATTTGGGACAAAAGTTCTTTGTAAACTAACAGACATATAAGAACATCATGTCATAAAGAATTTTAGGTTAAAATTTGGTTTTGCTCTTGTTAAGGTCATTTAGTTTCTGCTTTTATTGGGATCAGTTTGTTTTTGTTGTCTTTTGTATCAGTTAGTTTTGGATTTTGTCAACTGAAGATTACTTTGTAGAAGCTTTTGTTTGGGTCAAGTCAAATTTCTTGTTTAATTAAGCAGGAAGTTTAGAATTAAAGTCAGTCTTGTGAACAAACTTTGAAAAAAAGTCACTAAATAAACAGGTGTGAATATTACTACAACTTGTGTAGAGGCTGTCTATTTAAATTCTTTTTTCAGGAAACGATTCCTGTGGCGTGGGTCAACACAACTCTGTTTGATTACCAAGGTAAACTACGGCAAGGTCCAATGAAACTCTTTGCATGGCCAGTTCCCGAAACAATGGCAGACCAACTGAATCCTGTGGGCACGGTAGTTTCCAATATCGACACTGTAACCTCAGTGTCACTTGAAATTGCCTTCTCATCATACTCACATCCAGTTATTTACCCAACATTTGACAAGGTAAGAGGTTTGCTTGTAGGTTGAACTTGATGTGATGAAACTCTGTAATAGAGTGCATGTTAGTTGTGTAAAAATCAAAAACCAAATTTATCACAATGGTCAATCAAAAGAAAGAAAAATTCTACAACAAACCAAGTGGGAAAACTAAACAAGAAGTTTCTAAATTACTGTGGTTACATTCAAGTGACTCAAGTTGCAGTTGGTTTTAGTTTGCTTCTGATTGGTCAAAAGGGGTGACGTCTTCCTTAATTTAACTAAACCACCCCTGAGGCCCTGATAGGGTGGATTCCAATGGGTGACATGGCGTTGAAACAGTGACATCAGGGAATGAAAATGCGACTTCAAGCATGACATTAATGAAATTGCGACAGCGACATCAGAACCTTCCAAAATGGCAATGTGACAAAGTTTGAAATTCAGACAGGTGACATCTATACCCCCTCCAACAGGGCCTCACCCTTATCACATGTATATTAAAATTTTAAACCCTTATGTCAGTATGCGTATTCTCTAACCTCAATACCAGTACTTGTTTTCTATATTGTACTGACTAGGGGAATAAGTTACAAATTAAATCAATACTTTCACTGGTTCACAATCATTTCCCTTGTTCTCTTGACCTTAATTTCTGAGTCAGGGAGAAAACTGTAAGGAGAAATTATTTGCTAGTCACTCTTTGGGATTAAGGGTCAAGTATATAGATTGATAAAGGTGTTTTGTTACAACAAAATGCATGCGATGGTGATAATGTTAGTCACACTTGGTTTTGACTACTAAAAAGGTACAAAATAATATAAGAAATAAGTAAGAAATAAAGTTAGCAGGCATGTATGCCTGCTTTTGGACTTGTTACACATCAAAAGGGTTGGAAAGCTGACTTGATGGCTTTGAATTAGTGAGATAAAGAGGTAAACCATATGTTATGCTGTAAGAATGGTACACTGGTTAGATGTGGCTGTGAAAAAAAAAATCAAAAAAGTTAGGGTGGCTGTGAAAACAAAAGCAAAAAACAGCAAGGGTTAAAATTGGTACATTGCTGCCACCAGATAGGCTTTTAGGCAATAAAAATAGTGACACAAAAAAAACTTAAGCTGTCAAGTTGCTTACAGTTTACAGTGTTTTCTCCTGTTAAACATCATCAGCATTGTGTTTGCTCCACTCAATGACAAATTTGATGAGACCAACAGGTAATAAAGTTTTTCAATGTGTAGTCCTGACTGGACAGCAGTAACAGTTTACAGTGTGCATTCTTTTCTATTGTTTGCACAGATTGCTGAGCTGGCTGCAAATGTTACTGACTATGATATTTTTGTAAGTATCTCATTTGGTGGAGGAGGGGTGGGGTGGGGAAGAAGACCTTAGCCGTTTTACTCCCAAGATCTCTGTCTGTCTGGCGTACAATTCTTATGATGTGAGTGTGGAGAATGTAGTGCTCAAAATCAACTAAATGTTCCTCCAGATGATATTTTTCTTTATTCTGGTCACTTGGCTGCTTACCGTAATTTCTGGCCGTTTACCCATGGGTAATCTGTTGATTTGGCCTTAAACATGTGCCACTGCGGGTAATAGGGAGGTGTGGGTTATGTGACAATTTTGAAATCTACTGGCAGTTGAATTGAAGAAAATCCTCACCTACTTGCGTTTCCACCTCTCAGATGAATTTTATTGTATTAAGAGTGCCACAAAGCAGCGCAAAAACATGATGCCAACTCAAGTTTATTTCATGCACAATTAGTTGTGCGACGAACAAATTATTATCGGCACACGTGTAAACAAAACCTTGATGGTGACAAAAATAAATCGAGGATAACCGCCGCATCAGTAACAAATTTCCAGTTAACATTAGCTTCAGTTGAAGAGAATTTTCCTGTTTTAAGGGACTTGTTAGGCCCAATAGAACCAGAGATATCGATATTTTGAGAAATCAACATGGCGCTGAACGATCGTTTGCACAAAATGTGGCTACGAATTCGCATTCTGTCAAGTATGCAACATTGTGAATTCTAAGGCACATTTGTACAAATTTCCTTTGTTTTTAAGGTGCGGGTTATCCACCAGTGTGGGTAATCTGTTGACTTTTTTTTTGCTGCATGCAATAAGCGGCTGGTGCGGGTAATCAGCCGTGCGGGTAAATGGCTGGAAATTGCGGTAATATTGTGTGGAGGTTGTCAGGAGAAATTGTCTTGGTCACTTGTGGAAGTTGAAGGGTTAAGAGTAAGCATGAGGTGTGTTATAGACACAATACAGGGTTGATACGGGTCCTAGAAAACCTGTAAAGTCGTGGAATTTTATTTTGACATTTCCAGGACTGGAAAGTCTTGGAAAAAGACTACTTTCGGGTCCTGGAAAGTCCTGAAAATATGCTGAACTCAAGCAATTAAGTTTTCAGAATATGTTGCAAGAAATGTACATAGACCATAAGGAGAATAGAGTTTGAGGGTGTCATTAGGGTTCAACAGTTGACAAACAATTCCATTTTATCCAATCACTCCAGTTCTTTAACCAATACAAGTGTTATTGTTATAGTTAAAACTTGATGAATTCATCCATTAATGTTTTTCAGAATTAGTCGTTATTTTCCAGGAGAAATAAATGTTGCAATCAATATTAATTTTATAAATAGAAAGAGAACTGAATAAATTCAACAAATATTAACAATGTATAAATTGTACTGATATGTGAAATTGATGTAAAGCCTGATAATAGTATTACCCTACACAGGGAGGAGCAAATGACTCAGTACTTCAACAACTGAGGCAGATAGTCAATCGCGAACCCTTGGCCCCTATCTTTGAGCAAGAAAAGGAGCTAGTTTGGCAGCGCAGGTTTGATATTGGTCCTTCCTTGCTCACATTGTAGCTGAATAATGACATAAATGCACCCTATTTGCTAATTTTATTTTGCTTTTCTTATTTTATTTAAACATATTTGTCATTGTTTTCTCCAAAAGCACAGAGGCTTATCAAGGAGCTTAAAATAATTATAATTATAAATTTCACTTCTTGTTTTTTTTTGTTTTAATTTTGTTTACCACTGCCTGAGTGATCCCTATTTGTATTTAGTTCTAAAGTTGTTTTCAGGGTAGAACATGCAACTGTTTCCCTGAAACTACAGATTAATGTGAAGTGGAGTGCTGACATTTCTTTTTCATCCCTGGTGTTATGAGTGTAGTAAAGGGTGCAAACAAAACTCAACATTACCCTGTAACAGGAAATCTTGTTATTTTTGTTTTTGCAGAATTGATTGCCGCGAACATTTCCCACATGCATTGGCAAAACTGCTTTGCTGTGCCAAGTGGAACAGTAATAAGGATGTTGCTATGGTATGATCTAAGTTTTAACAGTTTCACCCCAAAAATCTGAAAGATCAGTTCTTAAACCCTGAAGAGTTACTAGCTCTCAGTTTTCCCTTGCAGTCTCATCCTTGAATCAAATGTGAAGGTCACAAGAATACAGGAACTGATCTTTAATTTTTAAAAGCTCTTGATTGTCACACAGTCATATACTCCTTGTTAATGCCATAGAAAACAGAATGAAGAATATGAACACTGTTAGGTTGCAAAGGGTGATATTACAGGAACAGGCTGTTCAGAGGTGGGTTGAGATAACCCAGGGTTAGTGTGAAATTGGATTTTAGATCTGAAAGCTTTAAAAGAGAATTCAGTTTAATTCCATTTGTCTACAATTTGTTTATTGAATGCTCTGAAAGCAATTGGGAAAATTATCCCAAAACGGCTTTTGAACAGAGAAATATAGAAACCTGGATTAGTAGTTAACCCTGGGTTAGCGCTAATCGGTCTTCAAACAACTGGGCCCAGGAAAATTCATCACCTGACGAGAGAATTGCACACAAGATTGCATATGGAAATCAATACGGCATGAATCATGAAATGATGAGTGCAATACTGGTTTTCAAGTGCAATTTATTGCAAAATTCAGGAGTCAGGTAAATTAAATGAATTTTCCTTGAATTGCATAATTGATACAAAATAAGAAAAAAGAATATTGATATTGTTTGTTTCTATCCTGAGCGCAAAACAAGGGATGCAAAACAATATCACTTAGCCTCATTTTCAACTTGCAAAATACCAGTAACCTGCTTTGTTAAGCAATCAAAATGTGATATTTTATTGAATTACACAATTCCAAGCATGAAATTATTAATATGCTTCTAGCTCTGAGAACTTGGTAGTATACTACTGATACTCTCCATTTTTCTCATAACCTTTCTGCATGACATTATATTGATGTTGTAAGGAGAAATTCCATTTTGGTCACTCCTGGGAGTGAAAAGTCAGACTTGTAATGATTATTTGATGACAAAAGTAGATCTCGTTGGAATTTGAGATGTTAAACATCCAGACTGTGATTTCCCCTGTGGAGGTAACACAAGGGTTTAGCGTGCAAAATTTGAAATCTTTATATCTCAGGTCTAAACTACTCGATCTTTAAGGTTGTAAGAATAATGGAATTGATCACCTACTTGTGAAGCTCCAGATTGTTAAACAACTTCTCCTTGTCGTTATCACAAGAAAATGAGTGTAATGAACAGTGCAGAGAATATTCATACCAATGTTAGAGTTTATAGAGTCAAACCCTGCTCTTTGAACGGTGTGTTGTAATTATTCATGTAGTTCTTCTAACCTCTTCTCTCACACACTTCTCCTTGTCATTCAGGAGTCTCTCTTTTCTTTTCTGTTTTACAATAATTTCTGTGTTGTTACATTTATTTCAGATGCAAATTCTGCTTCAAACATGGCCAAAGCTTGAACCGGAGGTGGCTTTAGAACTGTTGGATTATACATATGCTGACAAAGAAGTGAGGAAAATTGCTGTGAGGTGTATCGAAAAGATGAGGTCTGTGTCCTATTTTACTGTTTGAAAATTTTTTTGACACTATATCATTTTCACTTTAAAATCTTCAATGAACATGTTCGTTCAGTTTGGTGATTGGTAAAAATTACTGTGGTTAGTTTAATTACCTGCCAATACTAAATCTTGTTTACACATTTTCACTGTATTCCTTTGTTTATTTTGCTCAGTGACTCAGAGATTCAACAGTATCTTCTTCAGCTTGTTCAGGTAAACATTTCCTTATCCACTAGGAAACAGTCTCTTAGCCCTTGAGAAAATTACTGGTATATAGTTTATGTTTGGTTTCAACACAGGCCTCCAGATCAGAGTTTTTTTTCTGGTGATTGCTTCCAAGAGAAAACAAAAATGTGTTACTCCAGAATTTGTTTGTCTAATCAGCAGTGTTACCAACCCTCCTTACCAATTTTACTTGACACACCTTTCTTTAAATACACAAACCCTTTCAGATGTCAATAAATAATTATCTGGAACTGTACATTCTCGAATATCCAAAACATCTGACAACTTAGTTTTAGAAGAATAAATGGAGTGGAACAAATTCAAAACATTTTACTTGATAATGAGTTGAAAAACATGTAATTAAAGGTGTAAACCAGAACTTGAAAAAGCATCAAAAGTTAATTTTTTGCAGGTTCTAAAGTATGAATCATATCTGGACTGTGACTTGGCAGAGTTTTTACTTGGGCGAGCTTTGAAAAATCAGCACTTTGGACATGAGCTGTTTTGGCTTCTCAGGTACAATTTGTGACAGTATCGATTATATGTTTAAGTCAGAAGATTTAACCTCTTTAAGACCAAAGTCTGGCAATCTGAAGCCAAAAGTGTCAAGGGTGGCTTAAAATGTAGAAGATTATCATGTTAGCTAATAACAAACCTGAGAGGTTTAAGCTATTAATACATGTTTTTTTGCAGAAATATGAAACACAGTGATGCTACTTCAACTTAATTATCTTCACAGAATTCTAGAAAAGATTGAGAGAAAAAGAGATAAAGAAAAAGGGAATTAAAGCAACTCACCAAAATTTGAAAATCTCTTAGTCTTTCCAACCAATGGCTTGAGGAAGTTACTCAGCAGTGACCATTTAAAAAACCAAAGGGAGTAGATATTGCTACCTTCACAATTTCTCAGTTTTGTGAAAGATTTAGTTAGCTTGTACTCACTGTTTCTATTTAATTTCTCAGGGCTGAAATGGAAAATCCTGAAGTCTCAGTGAGGTTTGGTTTGATGTTAGAAGCATATTGCCGTGGTGCCCCAACACACATGAAAAGCCTTCAACACCAGGTTTGCCTAGGTTTGATTAGAATGGACCTCAGATTGGAACTCCTTTCAATTAGTAGAAAACAACGTAGCAGATTAGAAATTAGCCCTTTAACTACCAGGATCTGTTTGTTAATTCTCCCCTCCAGCTGCTTCACATTTCCTTTAAAATTGGTCACAAGAAGTTGGTCTTAGATCAAAACAATTACTTCTACTTGATAAGTTTGAGTATTCTCATTATCTGTTTGTTGGATAGTGTATGGATATTATAGGGAGAAGTTACGTGTACATGTGAATCACTTTTGGCTGTGAAAGGGTTAGGTTACCCTGGTCCCAGAGGTTCTCTTCTCTCTCCCGGAGTACGATAATTCGACGCGAAGCGCCGACCAACGAGCTGCAAAGCAGCGTGCGGAAAGAGAGATCAATGACTTCCCATGACCCGTCGGCAAGATGGCGAATACGTCCTGTCGATTCACAAGTGCAAACAAAGCTTTGCTCTGTTTATCAGATAGTTTAGAAATATCGGGAAAACGTTTCTCCAAACAACCAGAGATTACACTTTCGAATAGTACGTTTGAAATAGACTCCATAAATATAACCAACAGTAAACAGTGATCAACAAGACTCGCGAAGTTCTACGGCCACGAAACGAAATAATATTCCCCACCCCCACTCCAGATACAAGTAAACACACTGCTCCTACCCCCAGAGGTATTTTAGTACTTTATTCTGATTGGTTGTCGGAAAGGAGCGTGATTAATAGCTGTCACCCGAAGCTTGGTGGCATGAAAGTGAGATTCTCAACGGTCCTGACCAGAGGTTCTCTCTTTCCGCTCGATGCTTTGCAGCTCTTTGGTCGGCGCTTCACGGCGAATTATTGTACTCCTGGACAGAGAAGAGAACCTCTGGGACCAGGGTAGGGTTAGGTGAACATGGCACAGTGATAAGTGATGAGGTCACTATCAGCTCTGTGAGTCACTGAAGTGATCAGTACATGCATGGGAATTCTCCTCTTCAGAATGTGACAGTCTGCTGTTGTGTTCGCTTTGGTGTAACTGGTGAAAACTGTTTTGCTTTTTAGGCTCAAGCACTTAGCAAGATGAAAGCTGTTACTGAGCTACTTCAGTTAATTGACAGGGTATTGTTGACCCGCCTTTTGTTTATTTTTCTTATTTTCATTAGAATTGTTTTATTCACGTTTAAAATGTTTATAATTATGACAGAGTGCACTTAACCTACAGCCATGAAAACATCACACGGCATGGCTCCTCATTGTCGAGCTGGTTCCATCTCCTTTCCGATCCCCCACTACTTTGCCAGTTAGTGCAGAAATAGTCTCCTTCAATTTATTTTGTATTTTTTTTTTCTCCAGGAAAAAAAGGAAAAAGGTTTGGCAACTATGAAAGAGCTTCTTCGTCAGAAAACGTATCAAGGAGCACTCTCCAAAATCAGCTCTCCTCTTAATCCAAGATACAAGCTGCGGAACCTGAAGTATGTTAACTCACTCCTGCTGCTCTCAATTTCCTTGTAAATTTATAGAAACAGAATTTGGTGTCAGATCATGACAACTCTCTCTTCTCACCTATTTACACGGTGACGCAGTTTAGAAAGTAATGCTGGATTGGGTTGGTTTGCATAGATCTGTTCTCTGACTGTCCCAGGGAACTCCCGTTACTCTCTCAGGATTAGAGCGCTTTTAAAAGTTATAAAAACGGCCAATCAGAATTTTCTGGGATATTAAGACGTCACGTCGTTAATGATAGGGTCTATTCCCCTATAGTTGTTTGATGATTGCTTGATAAATTTTTGTGGAGAAGTTACATGTGAATCACTTACGCCAGTTAGCGGGACCAAATGGAGTTTAAGGAGGAAGTAGAGTCAATTTTTTTTTAGTTCATCTAAATTCTTTCAGTGTCGACCAGTGTAAGTTTATGGACTCCAAAATGCGGCCACTCTACTTGGTGTTTGAAAACATGGACGAGCTGGGGGACCTGGTGCGCATTATCTTCAAGAATGGAGATGGTGAGTTTAGAGTTAAGCACTGCTCACGAGTATTACAGTACCCACACGCGAGTCAAGCGCGTGTAGTGCGTGGGAATTGCACGCGCTTTCAATGCGAGTAATGCTACGCATGCAGTAGCAAAATTACACGCATGCAATCTTTTGCACGCAAATGCGTGTATTTTGATTTGTCTCTTGTCATTCACAAAAGTTTTTCAATGCAAAATCTCGCCTAGCTAGAAATTAGGGACATTATTTTATTTCTTTTTTTTTTTTTTACTAGAAACAGAACGTATTACTTTGGGATTATGTTCTAGTTACATTTATTTCATTGTAAACAGTTTAAGTTAGATGATTGGAAGGCGGAGAATCGTCTAGTGGATGAACTTTCAATAAACCACAATAATAATAATAATAATATAATAATAGTAATAATAATAATGATGATGATGATGATGATTATTTTTATTAACACACGCATGCTTGAATTATTCCAAAGTGTTGCACTCTCTCTGTATTAAATTACTCTTCGTGACGTTTTTTGTAGATCTCCGCCAGGACATGTTGACTTTACAGCTGTTTAAAATCATGGACAGGATCTGGCAGAACGAGGGACTTGATTTAGGGTTCGTTCTTTCAGAATTACAAAAATACACATTGCGTAAGCTTGCCATAGAATGCAGTCTAGTGAAGGCAAAGGATGCAAATAACAGAAATCAATCCCATTACCCATTGCGAATCTCCAACTACGCACCCAGCCCCTTATCAGCAGTTATTTTTGCCAATCTATTGTTACCACAAATTGCATTATTTTTCCTCACACAGAATGATCCCTTACGGATGTTTGTCCACGGGCAGCTCCATAGGAATGATCGAGGTTGTTCACCAAGCTGAGACCATAGCCAAGCTACAGAAAAAGAAAGGAATGACAGCTGTTTTCGCCAAAGAGTGTATCTGGAATTGGTTCAAGGACTATCACTCAACCGAAGACGAGTAAGGGGTTCACAAATTAAATCTTTAAAGGAGACGATTGTTAACGCCTTGTATTTGTATTCTATTTGCCTCATGGAGCATTTTTCAATTGTGTGATGATGAAAGTTCTCTGGGATTGCATTAAGCACCAGTTTTCAAATAAGTATCGAAAGTAATTAAGGATTGGTTCTGCTTCTTCATGTTCGCTGAGCTGTCAAGGAAACTCGTGATTCCCTCCCAAGCAATCAGGGACAAAACTCCTTACTCCCCCCACCCCTCCTCTTTCCTCATTGTCCTTGTAACTCTTTTACACCCTAACATCAGTATGTATATTCTCCATACTGGTCTCTTTACGTATCCTAAGCCGCTGAAAGGGAGAATTTGTTTGACAATCAATAGCTTCCTTAGTTGTTGGTCATTGCCTTGATTCTCGTGACCTTCATGTGATTGAGGGGTGAAATTGTAAGGAGAAATCAGATTCCAGTCACTCTTAGGGGTCAAAGATTAAAACCAATTTTCAAATGAGTATCTAAGGAACTGATTTAGGATTGAACTAGTTCTGCTTCTTTATGCTCGTTGAACATCTCAAGCCATCCAATCCAAACTCGTTTCTCCCGCTTTCCTTCTCCCACTGTCCTTGTTAAGTTTTTTTTTTTCTCCATATACTAAAACAAGAAACAAATATGTTAAATTGATTCGTGTCTTGATATTTCTTATGTAGACTGAACGAAGCTGTACGCCTTTTCACGCTCTCCTGCGCGGGGTACTGTGTGGCCACTTATGTCCTGGGGGTGGGTGACAGGCACAGCGATAACATCATGGTGAAGAATACGGGACAGGTACATTTTACTCACCAACGGAATTGTGCAGTCGTAGGGTTTATATGTATTATCTCCAACAGCTACTTTCGTTATTGGTTGAAGGAAGTTTACAGATTTATTTCAATATTTTCACTGATTTGGCACAAATTGACAATCTGATTTTTAGACTGTATTTGTGTTTTGTTTGCAGTTGTTTCACATTGACTTCGGCCATATCTTGGGTAACTTCAAGAGCAAGTTTGGTGTGCGGAGAGAAAGAGTGCCTTTCGTACTGACTGATCATTTTGTACATGTGATTTCCTTGGGCAAAGGAAAAGAAACAGACGAGTTTAGAGAGTAATAGCTTGCTTTAATCTTTTACACCCTAACACTAGACTGCATATTCCCCACACTGTTCTGAGAACATTCCACGAGGAGAATTTGTTTAACAATGTAGAGCTTCTTGACTTGGTGATCATTTTTGTTACTCTCATAACCTTAACGTGTGATTCATTGTAAGGTAGTTGTTCAATTGGACTCCACTGTTAGTGAATTCCAAAGGAACTGACAATCTCGTCCTTGAGGTGTCCTCCTGCGTGTCCACTCCCCCTCTTTCCCAGGTCTTCTCCTTTTTGTGCCCTCCAGTCCCCTCCTCCTTCTCTGTGCTACTGGAAAGAGAATGAGGATACGGACTTCAAGACATCATCGCCACATAAGCTTTTTTCCATCCTTTCTCGTTTCTATCTCACTTTAAAGTTTTTACCGTTTCAATTGTATTTCTTCCTTCTTTAGGTTTAAACAGCTTTGTGAAGATGCTTTTCTCATACTGCGCCGTAAGGGCCCACTTCTGATCAACTTGTTCGTCATGATGTTGTCTGCTGGCCTCCCTGAACTGCGGTCACTTGATGACATTGGTTACCTGCGGAAAACACTCCTGTTGCCCGTATCGGAAGAGGATGCCCTCAGAGACTTCAGGAGTAAATTCGACCATGCTATTAACAACAGCTTTTCAACAACTATGAACTGGTTTGCGCACAATGTAAAGAGGGACAATCCCTAAGAAATGCGTGAAATCGTCTTCTATTTATGACCACTGCTAGGTCAATTCTTTTCTCAGACCCCTCTGAGTTTGGATCACCATAAGAACGATCATATTTTTTGGGGGGGAGGGAAGGTTCTTTGTTTTTTTTTTTTTGTCGTAAAATGAAAAAATCGCGGGAGCCTGTTGATTAACAAGAGACAACAAATTGTAAATTTCGGTGGCCTCTTTAAGAGAAGGCGTTGTAGACATAAAGTCTAGACTGTGAATATATGAAAATATATGTTGAAAACATGTCAAATGCTGATTGAGAAATTAATATGCGATCTTCGCAGTAATAAACACTACCTTAGCATTAGTGAAAAAAAAGGCTATCATGTCTTTATATATCATTGCCATTTATTGATCACTTCATCACTTCGCGGGTTTATAACAAACCGACATGATGACCAGCTCCCAGGTGGCTTGTTAGCTCAGTTGGCAGAGCACTGCACCGTTACCGCAGAGGTTATGGGTTCCAATCCCCTATAGGCCTGAATTTTTTTTAGGCCTTATTTTCGCCACTGCTTAAGTAGTGTTCATCGCTGGGACGATCGCTTTCATATTGATATATAGTCTTGTTGTTTTTAACTTGTTTAAGTTTTTATGAAATTTATTTTGGGTAAATACATTACTTTGGGTAAAGTAATAAAAATCTGCTTTTACTGCAAGGAAAAGCGGACTACCACAAAAGCGTGGTAAGAAGTGTAAGATATAAAACGAAGTCATTACATAAAAAAAAAAAATAATAAATTTACGCTGACCCTTAAGCTGCTTTTAAAACGTTTTTTATCAGTTTTATCAATCTAAAACACATGTACATTGGATTTGTATATAGGGTATTATTAATGTTATTAGAGATTAATTTCTTTATGTTGTTTTAAGCAAATATTCAATTTATTTTGTAACTAGGTAGCTAGAATTTCTCAGTGAGAGACGACCATGGGTTAGCTATTTTAAAACTTGACAGTGTGGTAGGCACTCGATCGAATCACGTGCAAGTGATTTATATCGAATGAGTGCGTGGCATTCATACTCCCGGTAACATGGGGATGCAACTGTTTTCTAGAAAACTCGTCTAAACGGTGCAAATATTTTTAACATAGGTAATAAGGTAGTAACTGAATGGTAAAAAGCTGTCCCAAGCTTTTTTTCCTTTGAAAATATCAATTGAATCCTTACTGTTAGCCCTTCAAGATTCTTATAATACAAAGAGGACAGTGTTAGGCATTAATAGTTTGATTTTGTTGTTGTTGAGATTTCAATTCGTCACACCCTAATGGAAACGCCTTGAACAGATGGAACAGAAAAATGGGTGCAATTATTAGATTATGGTTAGTGCAAGTTTTTAATATTTTTTATTTTTGGTATTTYTYMRGRRWWTKKWAAWTWARKTKKWAWKRAWTTKKTTTT